TTTTAAAAAATTTTTATTAACCAAAATTTAATTACAAATAGAATGACCATTTGTACATCTATAACCTAGATGATTATCATGATATACATGAAAAAAGAAGACCCAATACTATAACCTTATCTACTGCTAACCATATGGCCACTTGTATTTGTAAACAGATTTCAAATTGTACACTGATACTTATTATATTTAATAATGTGTCAGTTCATAATCTAATAAACATTGATGCAAGCAATATATGTTTTCGATTAATTCATGAATATCATGAAATATTTGATATTGTATATACCAATCGTAAAACCCAATGGCTCATTAATGGACAATTAGCTAATAATACCTTTGATCAAATTGATCTACTTACAGTGCATTGTTATGATGATGCAATTGCTGAAAGAAAAGAAGAACGTTCAATGAAAGGGATACGATTAATTGGATTTCAAAAAAAGAATTTGCATTCTATAAATGATTATATAGGAGCATTACAAATGATCTTAGATATTAATAAAGATACTGGATACTTACATAATAATATTACACCACTAGTAGCAGATTGGCCTGGACAATTATTTATTCGCAAAGCAATAAAAAATTTGCATAAAGCAAATTCATAATATTCAATACCACCCGAGATTAATTCATTCATTCCAATTTTAGGACCTCTTCATGTTTCTCTAAATAGTAGAGAACATGTATTAATTATATATTATACCTTCTTCCAAAAACTGTTTCATTTTGTATTTGGTAAAAGAAAGGTATTGGCAAAGAAACCTAAACCTTGGAGAATAAATTTGCTACTTGATTTAGCATATAATGGATGGTATAAAATTAGAGATACTATTATAACAAAATTTGGAAATACCTGCAAAGATATTGAATATTGTATGGTTATCGATCTATTAGACAATGTAATTCTAGCAACTTTGGATGTGTATTTAATTCTATTTCGATCAGGCTCATTTAATGAATATATAGAAACAATTTTCGAATATAGACATTTGCACTTCGATAGAAAAGGCATAATTACAATAAAGTACCATTAGCCTTCTTATCAGACATTTTTTACTGGCAAGATACAAATCATCCTTTTGCTGAAGCTGTAAAATTATTTTTAGTTAACTTTAACGATTATTATGTTGAGAATATGCATAGTAAAATAAGAGCTCACACACCTGTAAATAGCAATGTTGACAATATTATAAAACAAGCTTATGTGATTGGTATTTTTTTTCTATTTGCTTATTTTATATAATATACATTTGTAATATCATCTGATTTCCATATGGTTGTATTAGATGCACGAGACCATTATGAACTTAAAGATACTTTTCAAAAATCTAAGACATATCCTTACAAGCTATCGGCATTAGACATTCTAATAAAAAAAACATCATTGTTTTTATTAGACTATTTTAAAGAAATTTACAAGAATCGCGGAAAAAATAAATTATATAAATCAAAGAAAAAAACACAATGTTAATTAGCTACCTTAAAAGAGACCGTTGATTCAAGATGCCTTCCAACAGGATATAGTGCTAATATAGTCCCATTACTAGATTCTTGTGATCATTGCCATAAAAAACTTGATGAAGGCGAAGTATTAATCTGTGGGCATAGTTATCATTTTGAATGTTATCAAATAATAGAATATGGATGTCGACATTGTGAGGAATATTATAAACGTGAAATTTATAGTAATATGAATTCTTTTTTAGATCGATTAGAAAAAGGTCTAAATATTCTTACCTCTGATGAACAAGATGCAATTCCAATAGAAGAAGAAAATGAGGCAGTGGAAGAAGTAGAAGCAAATAGGAGTCAAGAAGTGTATACAGAATTTATTAATTCACTTAGTCACGTTAATACTTGGTAATATTACCTGTAATATAATAAATAAATTTCTTATTAGATTAATAAAGAACTT